AGTAAAATTATATTTGTGTAATGAAATCAGTAATCATCTACTATAACGAATTATTCGTTATATATACTGCATAATTCGTTATAGCGTTAACGAAGATTCTTATAATGAAGTCCTGATCGGCTGGATTGGTAACTTCGTTATATCGAGATGTAACTGTAATATTGATTTTATCTTTATTTCAAAGAGAAGAAATTATTTCATAAATAATATTATTTATTTGTAAACAATTATAAGATAAAAAAATTTAATTATTTTTTGTTATTTATATATTATAATTATTTATATATATATAAAGTATTATTTTGTAATAAACTTTGTTAATAAAATAAAATAAACTTATTTGTTAAGATGATTATTGATAAATTAGTCAGCGAAATAATTATCGATTTAAAATTGTAATTCTAATGCAAGTTTTTTATGATTTAAATAATTATTAAGAATTTTTTTGAGAATTAATAATGAAATACATTTATTAAACAATTTTTATCATGATGTGTTTCAGATGTTATAAGTATATTTAGATATAGTAGAATCTAATATTATCAGCATAGGAACAGGTCTACTAATTTATCTCATGCTATGATTGGCTGGTATAATAAATTATGCTTATTTATAATATTTTATAGCATGATAAATAAACATCACTCATCAAAAAAATTTTAAATCCCTCAAAAATATAATAAAAATTGAAATATCATTAGTATTACGTTAGTAATAAATTGCTTAACACTTAACCTTAACTTTGACTAATTTTAATTATAATAGTCAATCATAGCGTGAAGAGTAAATTAGTAAATTTATATAGGGACATACTTACATTATTATATCGATCATTTTACCAATTATATATAATTGAATTATCACATTATATAAAATCCAGTCAATCTAAAATTCAAAGCTTCAGGTAAAATATCATATGATCGAGCAAATATTACAAAATAAAAAATTCAATATTTTGGATTACAGTCAGACCTCTCTAAATGCATCCTCTATAAATGCACACCCTTTTTAAATGCACACAATGTTCTGGTCCCAAGCTTGGGACTTAGAGGCTAAATGCATCCTCTAAGTTCTGCACGTGCAAGAAATTTTTCTATCCTTTGATATGATAATCCAATCTCTAAATGTATGTCACGTGACTATTTTATAAAATAATAGGACCGTTAAAAATTTGATGTTTTTTTTTATTCATTAATTAGTACATATGCAGCTTTTTTTTAGCCTTGACTCTTTAGCATCATTATAATCTTGCATGACTTAACGATCCTAGATTTCTTCAACCATTGGATCATTCGGAGGGTGAGTTATGTGAAAAAAAATTTTTAATATTTATTTTTTAAATCAATCAATGTAACTAACAACTAAAATTACTTACCTTTTGTAGCTACCGAATTCTTCAAGCATTGATCATTCAGAGATAAGTCCTATGATATTTTTTATATTTTTAAATTTTTTTTTTTTAATCAATCAAACAAACAATTAAATTACTTACCTTTTTGTAGCTACCAGATTCTCAAGTATTGAATCGTTCGAAGGTGAGTGCTATGAAAAAAATATTTTAATATTTTTTTATTTTTTAATCAATCAAAAAATCTAACATTAAATTACTTACCTTCTTGTAGCTACCGGATTCTCAAGTATTGGATCGTTCGAAGTTGAGTACTATAAAAAAAATATTTTAATGTTTTTTTTTATTTTATTTTTTTAATCAATTAATAAAACTAACATTAAATTACTTACCTTCTTATAGCTACCGGATTCTCAAGCATTAGATCGTTCAAAGGTGAGTGATTATATTATAAAAATTTGTTAAAATATATATTTTCCATTAATGCACATCCTCTCTAAATGCACTCTTTTACTCAATCCCGAAGGGATGCATTTAGAGAGGTCTGACTGTATATATAATATATTTTTAAAATAATAAATCAATATAAAGTATTTTACATAAGTTAGCTTAGGGCTGAAATAATTAATTAAGTAATTTACATAATAAATTAATTATTTTTGATTTCAAAGGTTTGAGCAAAATCACATATGCAAGAGCAAACTATAATAACCATTATATTTCATAATTTAAGTTATGTAGAAAATGATATAAAAATATTACAATAAAATTTTAAATAATATAAAAGTTAGCTTTGAGACAATTTTTTAAATATTTTAAATATTAATCATATGTAATTAAAATTTTTAATTATTTGGCTTCAAAGATTTGAACAGAGTCACATATGCATGGGCAAACTGTACCAACCATTATATTTCCTAGTTTGGGTTTTATAGAATATAATATAAAAGTATTACAATATAATTTTAAATAACACAAAAGTTAGCTTTGAGAAAACTTTTTGAATATTTCAAATATAAACAATATGTTATTATAATTATATTAATTTTGGCAAAATGTTAACTTACCCAATAATAATTATTTTTTCGATAAAATTTAATATGTTATTTAATTATATTAAAATGCAGCTAATTGTAAAAATTTCATATATTATTATGTAGGATTTCCGATTGGTGCATTTTTATGTGATAAAGTGATAAAATGAATAAATGATCGGCAAATTGATCGGCAAAATGTGATAAAATTAAACATGTCCCGCTATGCTAGTGTTATCGGACTCGATAACTTTCCACTCAAAACGAAAGGTTTTACAAATTAGTGATGTGGTGAATCTTAATGAACTTAAGAACGAAAATTATTAATATTATTATAATTCTTATGTAAAATACGAAAATCAATTTTGTAACCGAAAAAAATATTACCAGTCATTTAAAAAAAAAAAAATTTCTTTATTATATAAAATAAAATAAAATAATGTCCCCGTATTATTATTATTTTAATTGTAAAAAAGTCCAAATTTTAAAGAAAAAATGTGGTAATGAATACAAGAGTAAATTAATAAACCCTCCAAAACTGTAATTTTGCACTTTTTTTTTGTAATAAAAAAAAAAAAAGATTAATACAATCAATGCAATTGTAATATTATGTAAAAAATATAATTATTAAAATCAAAAAAAATTTTAAAAAAATGAATGAATGATATTAATAAGAGAGTAAAGAAATTAAGGTAAAATTGATATATAGGAAATTTAAGGAATAATGATATATAAGTAAAAAAGAATGGAAAGTAATTAATTTTTCTTGACAAAATCTATTTAAACAAAGGATTAGAGAGCGAAGCCAAATAAATTATTACAAATGAAAAAAAAAAAATAAAGGTAAGAGGTACGGGGAAATTATTAAAAAAAAATTTAGTAAAATATATATATATATTATTGTATATATCTTATTAAAAGAGAATATTAACTGAATAAATTTAAAGAAACAAAAATATCCATACAATTATTAATAAAAGAAAGAAATATTAAACAATATACAATTCCTTTTTTCAGTCTCAAAAACTGAAGAAAAAAAAAAGTAACTTAGCTCGATTCAGTTTCTTTTTGTTTTTCCTTTTTCTTACTAAGAGCTACTTGAAGGGCTGCCAACCATGCAACCTGAGATTCTTCACTACTAACACAACAAATATATGTACGTTTTGGTGTGATTACTTTGAAGCAATTTTGTTTAGATTTAGAAATCGGATCTGCTTCAATTACATCAAGAATGTCTGCAAGATTAATATTTTGATGAGGCTTAGGATCCTAATATATTATTAAAAATAATAAATTAATATAAATGATAATAAATAATATTAGCTAGAGACATATAAGCTTACCTTAGGGTTCTTGTAATAGAACAGTCGATCATTCTTCAATACAAACCACCTTTTCTTCCAAATTTTCTATATTATGTTAAATCAATAATCAGAATAAATGTATAAATAATTCGAAATAAATTCTTTTTTTCTGTACCTTATATCGATCTAATTTGTATACAAATCCTTTGTGAATTATACGGCCATCATCTAATTCGTCGACCATATCCTCATATACGTCTTCGTCTTCAGAACTAGCCGTAGGATCACTACTATCTTTTGCATATTGTCCCGCAACTGGACTTGAAGGGGAAGAAGACACATTAGGAATTGATCCTGCTGAGGTATATGATGAAACTGACGCGAAAGAATGACCTCCTTCTGCGTTATAATCAGAAGTTTGAAGTTGATTTCTCGGAGGAATATCAATAGCAGCTGTCGCTTTTTCTGGAGATGTTAGGGAATTGTTCAAGACTGGAGAAGTTGACCCGGACAAAGGTGATTTAACTTTTTGAGTAGGCAACTGAGTAGAAATTCGCATCATGGAAGGAGTCTTCTCTGACATATCTTCACTATCGGCTTGACTTCCTGTATCCTCATGTAAAAGTTGTTCTTCTTGCACTTTCTTAACTTTGTTTATTGCTTCCACCCATTCATCAAGCTCTTTTTTACTTGTAGCCTGAACGTAATATGTACGTTTAGATGTAACAATGTAAAATACATTTAACTTATTCTTAAGTTTAACTTCAGCAACAGAATGAACATCGTTCATATCCAAAATTTTAAGAAGTTCATATTCCTAAATAATATCATATATTTCAATTGAAATGAAAGTAATGACGATAATAATAATTACAATAATGTATAAAAAAAAAAAAAAATACCTTATCGCTCTTATAATATGCTAATTTAGTCGATCTTAGCACAAACCATCTACGTTTCCAATTCTGAAATAAAGATATTGTTAATTTATTTTAATCAGAAATATAATGTGTGCTATATAATACATTTTAAACCTTTTCGTACTTTTCGTCTTTCTTGCTTTTTATTAAGATATCCGGATTTTATTACATGTTCATGAAGTAATGTTTCTCTAGCCTCTTGAGGGTTCAAATCCTTTTCAGGTTCAGTTTCATATTCATATCCATATTCGGTTTGGTTAAAGCATTCTTGTTCTGAATCAGAAGTATCAGAGATTGGAGCAACTAATGTAGTAGAGGGCTTATTCTAGGATTTTAAATGTTAATTTCCAAATCAAAGATTTATCGATTTTTTAAAAACAGATTTATTTAAATAAAAACATATTAATAAAAAAATAAAAAAGTAGATGCCAAGATTGTGAGAAAAGTTAAATACTCATGTATTACTAACGTTGCGTAGAATTCCTACAGGTGCGGCCATAGTATTTTGATTGACTTCTTTGAGTGCTGTTGAGATAATAGATGAGCATAATTTTAGTATTTAAAAGAATGTGAATAGAATATTGCAAAAGAAAAATACTCACTAGAAGTTTGATTTAAGACTTGAACAGAAGATGTCAACTCAGGCATACTTCTGTCAAAAAATTATCATAACTAAATGTCAAGTATATTTTTGGGAATTATAAGTTGATTGAAACAAATTGGAAAATGGTCAAGTTAACAGTTTTATATATTGTAAACAGTTAGAAATTTAGATTGGTTGAAGCGTCTCTTGAAAACTATGAGGTTAAACGGACGGAATGAATGTATGAAGTTAAAGACTATAAGCTTCCGGAGACAAGTTAGGAGAAAACAAAAAAAAATTATTTTGGGTGGAAAAATTAGGTCAATTTTGTCAACAAATATGCATAATATAAATAGTATTTTAAGGTAGAGTAACCAAAAATTAAGTAAATCAAGTAAATCAAGTAAAATCAAGTTACCCAATAAATATTAATATATATAAAAAGAGTTTTTTTTCTGAATACTAAACTATTTTATAAATAGCAATTTAAATAAAAAAATTTAAATTAAGTTTGATGTTAAAAAAAATCATGAGAAAATCATACAACAAAGTACTGCGACTCATGATCATGTGAACCGGCTTGTCATAATTCATAATTCACTCTTATCGTATTATTTATTTAATACCAACTCGTTTAATTATTTAACGAATATGTCAGATAAATCGTTATCTTCACAATCAAAAGGGCTTTGGAATTATTGCTAATCCTGGAATGAAAGAGGAATTGGAAGAGGACTGTAAAAATGGTTAACTTAAGAAGCTGGTGAACCATTCGAGGAGGACGAAGAAAAACGATGCCCGTAATGGCGCTAACTCGATCAGTGGATAATGATACTGAAACAAGCTTCTATTAATGTTCTACTTGATTCTTAAGCCGAGTTCTTAACTTTTTAAGGAATCGGAAGACGTAACCTTGCCAATGAACGAGAACGTAAACTGAAATACGTTTTGGGATTTGCTTGAACCAGAAAACAACGTAGTGAATATTCTGAATCAACAAGAATTTCTAGTTCTGTCAAATTACCCGAATGGAATGCTCAACAACTAAACCTTCTAAAATATATTGATAGAAACGTAGAGGTTAAAATTAGAGAATTTCAAGGTGATGAATGGAGGTTAAATCTTCCTATTCAAATAGGAGATTTAGTTCATAAATGCTTTTAGCTGTATACGTTAATTCTACCTAGATTTGATCGTTTGATTTTATTGCACTTCATGGTCGCTGGTTTAGGCGATCGCTTTCTTTGATAACTACGTAAATTTTTTTAAATACTTTTTTCAGTAATTTTAGTCCACAGATCTAGTAATGTAAAGATTTACGGATTTCTGATACAATTAATAAACAAAAGATAATTTCGCACTATAAAAAATGAACGAAAATGTTTGAAAAATCAATTGATAACATATTTATTATTATGTAAGACTTTTTTTTTATATATTTTTCCGTGTATGATTTTGGGCTTTTTAGGCCTTCCAAATAACGTGAAATTTTTTTACTATATAAGTTATCAATCTGCGCGCTTTGTGAGGCACTAAACATTTTTTCTGGCTTAGCGAATCGCCTTGAGGCTGGGCAAAATATGCGAAAAGAATGCTTAAGGCGGAATACAAGTTATATATATATTCTTCCATTTTCCATCTTACTTTTGCTTTCTATGAAAGCTTTTTCTGCTATCTCCCCGCCTTCTCATTTTATTCGAAGCCAGAAAAAAAAATAACTATATGTCTGAAAGTTGATAACTTGACACTGATTATGAACTATGTAAATGAGCGTGATTTTTTACATGAATCACGTACGCTAGTATTCCGCAAAACCCAGGAAGCATTTAGCTTCTTTGAACAAATCGGATTGAGAAAGCAGAGATTCGAGTTTACAACTTATTCGGGAGCAAAGAAATTTTTTGCGAGATGGGTCCAATCCAGAGACGATGATTTCCGGTGATTCGCAGAACATTGCAGAATTTTCCTTAAATGCATCTAACTAAAACATTTGTCAATCACCGCATAATGTCGCAGAATTTAAAAATAGAAATCACAGAATCACGTGTTATTCACAAGATCTAATTTTGATCATCGAATTTCGATAATCAAAGTTCGCGTTTCACAACGCGTAAAAAAAAGTGTTCATAAAAAATCGTATCCTGGTGCTTTTAGAGAAGAGGATGGATAGGGTTTCACCAATTCAGATCACAATTATCAAGACCGTGATCTTTTGATTTAATTATGCAGACCATTTAAGACTGCAACCCTTTTCAGTAAATAATCATGTCTGATAATATTAAAATTTTTAGTCCAAAATCTGCAACATCAACATTACAACGACATATAGAGTCAAGTCATAATAAGAAGCCGTTAAACTAAAAACTCAACAATTACAATCTAAACAAATTAAGCCCTATAATACTATAGAACAACAAGAACATCATAATGTAGTTTGTACATGATCAACAATCTTTTCGCGTAACAGAAAATAAATATTTTCGTGAAATGCTTAATTTTTTTGATCCACGATATACAGGGGGGTGAAATAAATATTGCATAATTTATTTATCGATTTTATTTTATATATAGTCACGAATATTTATAA